AAACATTTGATATGAAAATTTTTTCCACAATAACCATCACATAACAGAATACACCTTTCTATTTGCATACAAAGTATCTACAATTCAAATTTTTTTATATTAATGTTTATAATTTTGTTTGTAAAATTTTGAGTTAATAGAGTTAATAATTATTTTTATATAGTTGCTTGCCCGAGCATTTTGGGCTGATGGCAAATCGCTGAACATGGATCTTTCTGTTTTTCATTATTTTTATAATCACAATTAACATGGATTCTCCTGTTTTCTTGTCATTTTCATGATCACAATTAATGCTTTCTTCCTGTAAAACATATAGACATAAGGCTTTAATATTAATACTTAACTGATTTATCATGTGATTTATTTTAGCATCTACTGATGCTAAAATACTATGATGTTACTGTATTTAAATCTGGTAATACAATAAGAATGTGGCTTTAGCTTTCATTTAATAGCAATAGTATTATTTATTATGATTATATTTTGATATTCATTAATTTTTTAAGAAGCTTTTGATGTTATTTCAAAACTTTTAGCTTTAAAAGATAATATATCATAAATTTTTAAAGCATTGTTATATTTTTGTTTTTGGTTAAGATAATTGGCAACACCTAAAGCATACATCTCATTTTTTTTCAGTGCCTCTCCCATGTAAATTACAAAGTGAAATATAATACATGGCAGTGCTAAATATTTCAATGCCTTCTTTATATGTATGGTTTTCTTGTCTTTTGCAAGTTGTACAAAGAGATCTAGGTATAAATTTGATTGAAATATTATTAAAAATAAAATTTTGCATACAAACTTTATTGATAATTAATATTAATATTATTTAATGCTTTAAATTAAAATTTCTAGACTCAATTATCTAATGTTATTAAAATCAGTCAAGAGAATAAAATAGAGGATTTAGATTCTAGTAAATTTGCTTGTTTATGATTGTGAATCAAGTGATAGTAATTTCTAACTTATAACAATCTTTGTATATATTTCTCTTTGATTTATTGTGGTAGCTGATGTTGAAATTAGCTGATGCTGAAATTTTAATCTAGTTTATTATGAAAATTCAAATTTTTTTAGACCTTTTGTGTTGGCTTTTTTTAGAGTTAATAATATTAATAAAAGAGCAGATACGAATTTTATCACTTCATTATAAGAAAGAAAAAGTAACATTAGATTCAAAACTTTAGTATAATAACAGATTGGAATAATAGTCCTTTTATAGTAAAAGATGTCTGCGAAAACCAAGCGGATATAACCACATAGCGATGGGTGATCGATCATCCAATAAAATCAAACAATGTACTATATAAATTTGTAATATTGGATTTTTATCATTAAAAAAATAATAAATTTTTTATTATATAAATTATAATCAAAGTAAAGAAAAATAAGCATTTGATATCGATATTAAAACATCGCTTTTTTGATAAAATAAGACTGTCTTAACAACAAAAATGTATAAGATTAAAAGAACTATCTGTTTAACTGGGAGCTCATTTTATGAAAAAATAAATTTATAAGTTCCTTTTTTAAAAATGCACAGGATATTTGTTGATTAAACAGTTAAGTTGACTAATGTCAAATGTTTTATCCTTTTTTCGTAAATTAACAAAAAAAATTAACAAAGTGATTATTTCAACTTTTTTGAAAAAAATGTATATCTTCGTCCCATTTTGAAATACAAGAGTAGATCTGTTCTTTTTTATATACTTTAAAATTTCTTTGTGTGTGATTTCTCCTTTTATATTTTTTATCTAATCAAAAATTTCTTGCACAGTTTTTCCAGAATGTGCTACTATTAGCTCTGGCTTTTTTTTAATTTTTCTTGTTAGAATAATTTTCTGATCTAAAATCTTCTGCAAAGATGTAAACACTAGTCTACCATTTTTAGCAATTTCAAATCAATTGCCTCGTTTTACTGACTATCAAGGAAGAATATTCCAAATTAGAGTGTCAAGAATTCGCTTTAAAAATATTTTTTCTGCATTGTATTTGGTTTTTAAAAAATAAATATTTAAAAATATTATTATTATATATACTAGTTTGCATTGTTAAGACTTTATTGAAATTTAAATTATATTTGTGATGGTTCCAATTTAATTTTTACATTTAATTTAATCAATTAAAAATATTAAGTATGGATATTTTATCATGATATAAATTAACTAAATTAAGTTTATATCTAGTTTTGTGAATCAAATTATTATTATCTTTTTATAATTTAATCAATTACTTAGTTGTTTTTTAGTTTCTTTTAGTTGTTGCTTTCTATTTAATTGTCTGATTAAGATTAATTAATTGTTGTTCTAAATTATTTAATTTAATTTCACAAAATTGTAAATCAACTTTTAAATTGTTTAGTTAGAACTAATTTGGTTGCTAAATCTTACTTTTTAACTTACAGCAGATTAATTTGTCTTTGGATTTCTAACTGTGTTCAATTTTATTTTGACTTAGCTGATTATTTAATTTTTCTTTTTTTGTATCGATAAGCTTAATTTGTTGAGCATAAAGAGAATTAGCAGCCTCTAAATTCTGGTTATCTTGCTTCAATTTAATGATTTCAGTTTTTGCTGCTTGTAAATCATTACTAAAAAGGCAGTTTTTTGATTAATAATTGTAAGAGAATTGAATTTTTATTTTATTTAGGGTGTGTAAGAGTGTTTGCTGTGCAAAGTGTATAATTTTATTTAGAATATTTATTAAATTTTGTATAAACAAGAATTAAGAAATTTTAAATAGGTAAATATTGAAAACAGCAATAGTTTCTGAGAGCAGATATGTTTTCTTTATATCATCTAATTTTCTTCTGATTTTATCAGTAATTTCCAGTTTTAACTCTTTTTTGTAGGTAATATTTAGAAGATATGTATCGATAACGTGCAGAAATGATAGGATAATTCATTGATTTTATTATCATTAATCATTTTGTGTATTATCGAGTGATGTTAGTATCACTATGATAGATATATAGTTTTTTAGATAAATATATTTTTTTTAATTTAATATTGTAATTCTTTGTTTTTCAATATGCTTAAAGAAATTTTTATTATAAATTGGACTATTTAATTTATTAATTAAATTGTCAAAAAATAAAATCAATATAATCTTGAAAGAACTAAACAATACTCCTCATTATATTCTTGTTTTTGAATTAAATTTTTTCACAATTTCTTGTAATAGATCTACATTTTCAATTGCTTTCTATACATACTATATAGTGCTGCATACAGTACCTTAGGTATTTTACAAAAAAGCTGGTCTAGATTGAATAATACCCCCAAATATCAAGAGATGGAAGGATAACACAAATAATCGTAAAGCACATACCAACTTGGGGTAATACCCATATACTAGAAGTAGTAACAAGATAGTATAATATCACTGAAGTCAAAATAACTCTTTGAGTACAACCAGAATTGTCCTGTACTGTTACTATCACTATATACTTTGTATGCAAATAGAAAGGTGTATTCTGTTATGTGATGGTTATTGTGGAAAAAATTTTCATATCAAATGTTT